GGTAGACTCGCCCCATACGAGAGATTTGTCAGCAGTTCTATAAAAATATACAGTAACAGCGTAACTGTTAATATTTTCTAAAATCGATTTCACAGCTTTAAAGAGGGATAAATAGCGATTCCGAAACACCTATTAAAAGCCTTTTTTTCTTTAATATTTACAAAAGTTTGACCACTTGAAAGTTGACAAACTGAAAAAATGGGTAGACTCGCCCCGTTTACGGTAGTTGTTTCTTTTTCAAGCATGAATGTTCTCCTTATTTATCGAAATATTTCGCCATGTCTGGGATTCCAGTAAGACTACGAAACTCTAATATTTTTTAATAATTTTATGATAAACCGTAAAAGGTAGCAATAATTAAATTTCTGTCTGACGTGTTTAACCTTTAAAAGCTTTTATATTGTTTTGAAAGCATATTTGTATAATTTGATAATGAAATAAAACGGATCTGTATGCATGATTACTTAAATCCAATACCGTAATGGTCCTTTCTTAACTAGCAACGGAGCATAATTAGTTCATCGAGTGCTGAATCAACTGCAGAAAAGGGAATCTATAGTTAGCAGCAAGGGTACTAGAGGAATTTAAGCTCGGAATTTAAGAACGAAGAGTCAGAACATATGTGAACACATAAATTGAAGATGCCAAAACTTTTTAACAACTAAGGTGATTGAAAACGACATGTATTATGCATTGAAATAAATTCTGCTCTCATTTGCAATTTTCGCTGTCTCCTTGGCAACTCATCTGAAATGATCCCCTTTACCCCCTATAAAATATTTCATTCAACATTTTAGTTAGCAATTGGGTCAATTTATTCTAAGCTGTTTTTAAGCTTTTATTATTTACGTTGTCCTCCTGATAAAAAGTATCATTTTTTGGTGTTTAAAACATAACTTTCGTTTAGATTATGAAGTATTTTTTTTCTTTCCTAGCAGTTAATTACTTATATTGCGAATTAAAAAATTACATTATCGAATATATTTTTTGAGGAATACTAGAATAATTCTGCTTTTAGTGCAGTAAACTTCTATAGGATGCGTCTGGAAAAAAACGACATTGAATTTATTGCAAAGCTAATACTGTGTTCCAGCTTGTTCGGACGCGTTGGAATCGGCAAAAGTGGTGATCAGTTTACTTATGCATTACCACAATTTCACCTCCGTCCTTCAGAGGACAGACCTTTTCTTAAGCGTTCTTAATTTTGTTAGTTGTTCTAAATGAGGTTTTTCCGTAGAAGTTTTAAGTGCAAAACAAAAGGAAGTTTAGAAGGAGTCTTGTTTGAATCATGATATGGCAGGAAAATCGTTGGCACTTTTGAATTGGCAAAGAAGTAATTCTCAAAGAATGCGAAGTGTCAAAGTGCGTTGCTGTTTTAAAGTTAGAAAAAGATCGCTATGTCCATTTGGGACTTATTGGTACGTTTGATGTTTATGCCATTATATAAACACTCAAACAACTGTCTGAGTTCATAAATTCTATTACGCGAGTCACATTTCCTTTGGCTATGGTAAATTATAACTTTCCAGCACGAACTTCGTCACGACCAAAAAGGAAAAATTTTGAAATTTAAAACGAGCTCGTTTTCTCCTAATGTTACTGTTATTTAGTGACAATGATGAAAATAAAAGTTGTTCATTATTACCTTCAGGAACAAAATGTACAAAGCTCATTTTTCGTGCTATTCCCGAGTCATTAAAATAGTTTTTACCTTTTTCTTGGAAAAAAGGGGAAAAGGGACCCCATGTCATAAAAAAATAGAAAATTTTATTGTATAGCAAACCGAATATTTTGATTTCATTGAGTTAAAACCCTTATGGAACTATTAACTATAGTTACTGCTGCTGCCATCTAGTGATGCTTGTGAAAAGTAAATTTCATTATTTACTTTCATAACAAAAAAAATCCAACTTATTTGGTATAATAAGAAAAGGCACACTTTTGAAAATATGCGAGAACATTCATCTCAAATATTATTTATTTCTATTTCAAGTGAAGAAATTAAGCACAACCGATTCACAAGTGACGTGCCTCCTCTCACTTTGCTTCTTTTGCGCTGGATCTTATATTATGCTCTGGTTGGAAATGTGCTTCGCTATATGTTGCTCGCCCTATAAGTTGCTTTTTTTGTATAGCATACAGCACTAAGCTGTTCCCTACGATAGTTACGCATTCCAAGAGCTGGAAATCTTCTCCTTACTATTATATTCTTTGTCTGAGCGTTCTACAACACGTAGAAGCTTCGCAATACATCCAGTGACATAATTTTTCGGACACACCATGCGCACTTTGAAAGTGTTTGATTTGAACTTAAAATAATAATAACAATAACCAGATAAATGAATGTTATTTGTCAGAAGTACAGAGTGTGATGTATATGAGAATGCGATATTAAACCTTTTATCGCACTTTTGTCAAGTAATTGATAGCTGTTTCAATTGGAGAAAATTTTGTGTTTTTTTAAAATAAGTATTGTTGTAATTGAAAACTGTAAAAAAAAAGAGTGTAAAACATATTTGACAAATAATGCACCGAATTAAGTGTTTTTTGTGTAATGTTATGTGTTTCACAGATGCAATACTGCATAATAATTAAAAAAAAAGATCTTAGTAAAAATCTTATGTTTAGGTATCCGACTAGTGCAAAAACATAATTTTGGACAAAATTTTCGAATTTGAGTTTCTTATAATTATAGAATCCCTGTACTCTTATCTTTCTAAAAATATTTTACTTTTGTTTATAATTCAACTATTTTCACTGTCATAACAGTTTTTGTGCAAGGTGATAACAGTGAATAAACTAATGAATTTATGTTTTTAAATGCGTTTATATCAAAACCGGTTTTTTTTTCACATTTTGCACCACCTAATAATATGTTGTTTTTAATTCTCATTATGTTGTAATTCTCATGTTGTTTTTAAAATAAATGTCAGGAATTTTTCAAGGGTGTTTATG